GCAATTTTGTTACCTTCCGGTGTGCTTTGACCCTTGACCCCCCCACGTGCCTGCAGTCAGATCGGAGAGAGCGAGGCGGTAGTGGAAGGTAGAGAGAGCTTCAGACAGGTGAAACATACAGCAGAGAACTGTGCAGAGGAATTCCTGCAGGTGTTAGAAGGGGGGTGAGTGGCAAACGGACCAATTTAGGTTTGATCAAGCTAGGCTAGCTGCTAGGCTAAGCTAGCTGCTAGGCTACTTCCATCTCAACAGCTACCACCACTGTGTCCATAAAAGACAGTGGTTTGTAAAATGTTCTGGCGAAATGTTGGGAGATTGTTGGCACTCCAACCACAGCCGTCGAATGATGGAGAGTTGAGAGCAAAGTGCAGAAGGACAGCAGGATGAGTCACTAGTTCAACATGTTCCACCTGGTAGAATTCTGCCTCCAAGTTGATCCAATGCGTGTAGTTTTTGTGTTTAAAAAAACACACAATTACATTACAGTGTCTAAATAACACCTTTTCTAAAGATTTAGTCCTTTAATCGCGATTAATCTAGTAAATTTCTAAATGTGAGATTAAATCGTTAACTTCTTTAAATCAATTACCAGCCTTAATAATAAGACAATAACAATATTAGAAATAGTGCTTTTTGGAGGAAGATCTTAGTTTCATTAAATTGAAAGCAACCCAAATGTAATCTGACATAATTGAGCAAAAGGTCAAAGGATTTGCAATAACATTTAAAACGTAATCAGTAATGCATCATCAGTAATGGAGAACATTCAACTGTAATATTCCCATGCTCTCTATAGCCATACTGTCCAAATCTCATCCATCGGCTCTCTCCCTGCAGCAGGCACCTGGCCAGCTATCGACCGGACCTCACTCGTGGTTTTTGGGTCACAAGCTGTGACAGCTGCGGATGACTTTCCTGTCCAGTATCCAGCACTGTGCCACACACACATTCACACACATATGGCCATGCGCCGCAGGAATAATGCTGACCACCGGCTCTGTTGCCTTCTATCGACAGCACTATCTGTCTCGGACCAGAGACAGAGGATAGTGTAGGAAAAGAAAGACAGAGGAGGGAAGAAGATGGGAGGATGGAGGGAGGGTGGGGGGGGAGACAGAGATAGAGATTAAAAGTGAAAGGCAAAACAATCCCGGTCACAGCCACAGACAAAGAGAGGCTGAGCAAGAGATAAAGCGACAGAAGAGAAAAGTAATCATCTCAAAGGTCTTAAGGTCTCAGTCAGACTCACTCACTGTCCTGCGGCAAAGATGAATGCAAGAGTTAGCTTCAAGTCTGTGTGCAGGGATGAAAGATGAAAACAATTTCAGCATTGACCTCCAGAAGTACAAATCAGAAACAGTTGAATGTGAGCATTGAAACACGATGACTGTCTGGTGCTGCAATGTGACTGAACTGCTGCGGCGCTTCACCGCTACCACTACTATTTTTTTACTCCTTTGGGTGTAGCGCAACAACATCACAACACTTCACAGGCATAATATTACTTATAAAAAGTATATGGCAAACACTTATAGCAAGTTGTTGCCTTAAAAAACATTTAGACAACAAGCATGACCTTCATCAGAGTTGTTTAGTTGTGCAGTTCTGAATAAGTAATTACATTTTATGGTTTTTATTTTATTTCAATGTACATTCTTTCGGAAAACATTCTGCTCTGGCTTTATTGCTCAGCAGCAATGAAGAAGAGGGTTACAGAAGTTACATTTTTGTACAAATTGCTCCATTTGTGTCACTGCTGCTAAACTAATCACTACCTGACGAAAGTCAAACATTCGCCCTGTTTAGGGCAAGACAATATCCTGAGGGAAATATCTGGTTCCTTGGCTGCTGAATTATAAACTATGTTAGCCAGATACTAATTGCCAATGATTCAACATTTGTGCAAACAGGTTTTATGCATGCATCCTCTGTGCAGCACCATGGCTTCTCTACGCAACTAAACACTCTTTGCAACTCCTTGGTAATTATACACTACTTCATTTGCAATGTAAATCGAGGCACCGCTCTTCCGACTAAAGATAAACTCTCACAGTACATTCTCAAAACGAATCCAACAGTGTGACACACCTTTTGCAATACATGTATATTTTCACAACTTGTCTTACATGAAATGATAGAAAATGATATGTAATTGTGTATATTCACATGTTATGGGTGGGGGGGGGGGGGTTTCATCCAGTGAGATATATTTTTCTGGCAATATTGCCGCACATCGCTGCTGGCAGCTGTCTAGAGTGCGTACAAAACACTTGTTCTTCTGCTCTAGTTCATGCCCATCCCTGAGCTCACCCTTACTAAAGGGGTGCACTGCACTGTAGGTACGACACACATGGTGTTATCCCCCCCCGGGCCTGATTGATAAAAGATGACACGCGTATATTATGTGTACATACATGAAACATATTGTGCACAACTCAAAGATACACCATAAAACCAGGTAGATGTAACACCAGATGTGCACATTTTATTGTTTCTAGCTCATGCCACAGACATTATGATAGTAGACGGAACAGGGGTCATAACAGCAGTATCTGACCAAAATAGATTCACAAAGTAGATTTCATATGCGAAGATGTATAACTTATAACATAAATCTTCAGGGGAGTGAGATGAAGATCGCAGAGATAACACAGGACTTTCCCATTTACGGGTGTTTTTTTCCCTCTGAGAACTTTGTAACTACAACCGATGAGCAGTCATCATGAAGATGGTGCAAAGACTCATCAAGACCGTTTCCTGCACCTTTGGAAGCCTTTTAATGTTTCATTGACACTCATGTTTATTGAATATTTTATGAGGCAAGAATTGTTCTTCCTCTCTATTTATACAGTACTTTATTTATTATTCATGTGTTGATTCATGTGTAATTTCATGCACATGGGCCATGTTGAACTGCAGCAAATCAGGTTCTTTCTGCATACAGCAGGACAGACCTGCTTGATTGCACACACTTTTAAATCAAAATTGTCTTCGTACTCTGATTATGTTTGGTTACTTTACCGCTTTACGTATCCTTATAGATGTGACTCCACCTTCGCCCAACTGTGTTTCATTAAACAATGGTCATTGGCTACCAGAGTTATTAGGACCATTCTAGCCAACTGAAAATCAGCAAGCCACACGTACAGGAAATGTAGTTATTTATGTATTTCATCTAAAGAAATACCATTACAGTCCCATAGCTATTTAATCCGCTTCCTTCAGAAGACGTGAAGTGAGAGAAAGCCTTATTACATTCCTTGAATGTTAATGGGAAAAACAAAAGTGGATAAAACATTTTCTGGACAACGGGGCCCCTGTTTCCCATGTTTTAGTTCCATTAGTAACAGATACAAAGGATGCTGGTGGTTGACAGCATCAGTGTCAAGTGTAAATGTTTACACATAAGATTGGATTAAACCTATTAATATTGCAACTAATTTTAATTTCTGTGACATGCGCCGTGACTAAACTAAAATGAGACTACATGAAAATACGAGACAGAAATCAGATGGAACACAAAAACAAGAAGCTGAATGAAAAAATGAAAAGTGAAACAGAAAATTTAGCAATGTGGTTGAGAGATCTTTGCATCCGTGGTCTAATGTAAGAAATTCCATTGGGCTTAACAAAGTCCCATTGCTGCCACTAAATGGGCTCTCTCCTAAAAGAAACGAGGATACATTGAATAACAGTCAAAGACATTTTGTAAAATAACTCTTTTCTTGTTAAAGGATGGAGGAGAAGATTGATACCACGCATCTTATGGTCCATTAAAGGTGTTAAATAAAAGATTGGTAGCACCTTAATTACTTCCTAGCGGCTCTCAACATGGCGACGGCTGAGCCAGCAGCTCAGTGATGACGGCACCAACAATGCAAAAAAACTGCTAAAATAATGATTGAGCAAACTGTGTTTACATGAGGGAGAACCGGGCGGTGGGAACTACGCTTCTGTGATGATAACGACTGAGGAGAGGGCGCTATCAGCTGCAACCCCAATAAGCAAGCCGGACAAACCACCGCTGGTCGATCAGACTATGTCAAGCACAGCGACGCACAGCTACCCGTGTAGCTGTAGTCTTAACAGAGCCAAGCTAGATGGTTCCCCTTATTTTCAGGCTTCAAGCATGGATTCACTCTCTTATCAAGGTTATAAGGGGATTGATACACAACTACCTATATATATATATATATATATATATACACAGAAAGTTACAGGGCCAGGAGACATTAACTTATATTCAAAACTCTTATGTTTAACATTGTTTAGTCATTGTAAATAATGCCAATGATGACCTTGGTGTTTTTAATCACTCACTTTGGATCCCTCTCTTCCTTGGGCCGTTCACAGCCAATAGCCGTTTGTAATGTTTCCAGTAAGGAGGTTTTCTATTAACCCTCTGTAAAAGATGACAAGAGTTGGTCACAAGTAATAAAACCGTTTATGAGCTGTCTTCCCCAGGATTGTGCGCGAGGACCATGTCTGTGATGCTGATTCCCAAGAACTTGAAACTGCTTGCTACCCCCCTCATCTCAGATGCATTTGCCTCCTTTTTCTAAAATCGACAATCGGCGCCTTTGGTTTAATCGTCTCTCAAGAAAACAACTTGTTGTGTGAATTGCGTTGTTTATTAGTGAGCTCCGGGGCTCAAGCTACTTCCTAACTAGCAGAAACATGGCATTAATCTACCTGTTGAACTTTTACTAAGGGAGTGAAAAACGTCCCAGAAATGTTAAAGATCAACAACTCTTTTGTAACAAAAAAACATTTTTTTTCTCTCGTTTTCAATTGTTTCTAAAAAGGTTTTGGAGGACTTTTGGTGGCGTGGTGACGCGCAGTCTACAAACATGACTCGACACCCGACCTGATGTAGTTCCGTCACTTACTACACGAACCACGGGCCACGGGCCCGCCCCGACGCGTCACACCTCCAGACCGCAGCCGAGGCAGCGGAGCGAGGGGGAGGTGGCACACACACACACACAGAGGGAGAGAAAGAGAGAGAGCCCGGCTCAGCTCGGCTCGCACGCGCTCACACGCTCAGCGGCAGCGGCGGAGAGAGGAACGCACACGGAGCGGAGAGCTCGGGAAACCCACTCAGCGGCTCTTCCATTGCACGCGCCGTGGACGCCGGCAGAACGCGCTCGCGGACCCCTAAAGATGTGGACGGAAGTCGGGAAGCTCGTGCTGTTCCACGTGCTGCTCATGGAGCTGCACGGCGGTGAAGGTGAGGCACTTGTCCCGATCGGGCATCTCGTCGCGGAGGGCAACGCTCCGGGGGGGGGAGCGGATTGTCTCGCTTTCTCTCCCCCCCTCCTCCCCTGCCTCTCTTTCTCTCTCCGTCCAGCCCGCGTCTGGTGCCCCTTTCGGGGACTTTTGTCACAAAGCGCGCGCTGCGGCTCGCGCCCGGTCTTTGCCGGTGACAAGAAGCGACAATAAGCGGAAGAGGAGACCCGTCATACACGTGTCTTGGTGCCGTAGGCGGATGTTATATCCAGGAAAAGGATGCATGTGGGGAAGAAAAGATCAAAGGCGCTTGGTGCCTTTTGTAGAATATAATTTGCCTGAACACATCTTTGTGCCAGCAGGACACCGGTGGAAGGCACTCGGGCTTAAGTTTATTCCAAATATCAGCAAGTCCATCATTTGCGTATTATGAGATGGAAAGGTGTACATCTTGTTGTGGGAATGTTGCATTTTAGGAAAAGATTAAAACCATCATGATGGAGGAGACATGCCAGAGTATTGGAAGATGTAGAGCAACTTTAGCTGTTAGACAGAATAAATGATCTGCTTTGTTGTAGTAATGGCGTCATTGTGTAATCTGTTATCTTACAAACAGGAACGTCTTGCATTAGGCTAATATTGATAAAGCCTTCTCACAGCCTCCCCACTCTGAATGTCAATAATACATCCACCATATCTGTATGCTTCTAACTGGACTTTTTTTAATGTGACTAAATTGTTTTTTAGGGGTTCAAAATCTCGTTCATTTTAATGACGTCTCCACTCATTCACATCCGAACACTTAATGGACCAACGAAGTGATTGACCACTTGCTTTACCTTTTTCTGACAACATAGGAACTAATACGAAGTCGGAGTGTGAAACGGGGCAGTTTCAGTGCAAGAACGGACGTTGCATCCCGACCCTGTGGAGATGTGACGACGACGACGATTGTTCAGACAGCAGCGACGAGGAGAACTGTCGTAAGTAGAATCTTGTTGCCAGATGAACTTGTTTACACATTTGCAGACGGTTATTTGGTGATGCTCCCGCATCCCACCATTTTGGCACGAGCGGCTTGATACCTTGACAAAAAAAAACTAGACGCTGTAGATGTCTGATTTGATCCACACTGTGACTTTTAAATGAGTCAAGACACACTGAGAATAAGCTGCTTATCATTGTGCTTTGGGCCCCTCTGGAATCCCGCTTTCAGTTGTTAGTCTGCGGACGTCAGTGCAGAAACAGCTGATCCCGGATCATTGGTCGGGTCACATGGGCACAGGAATTTAACTATTTTCTTACTAATAAAATCCCCAATGAAACTCCAGACGCAAGGAGAGTTTTGGCCCTGCCGGGTCAGAGCAGGTCTATTTCATGATATTGTAACTGTTCTCTTACTGTGAGATAATGCCGGCCTTGTTCCCAGCTCACGCCGCTATATGTCTCATAATGCGCTGGATATACAACGGCTTCACAGATTGTGCCGGAATCTGAAATATAGCATGATCAAATTGCAGCGTTATATTTCATGAATGCTCGCTGCCGAGCAATGGATCAGGCTGTAATGCAAATACCGCTATGTTGCTGAGCACAAATTGACTGCTTTTCTGTTTCTGAGCCGTGCCCTTGGTCCTGTGGAAAGGGAGATTGCAAATGCAGTTTCAAGGACAGAATTGCAAATTTGATGTCACTCAATCAGATATTGTGTTCGGTCCTTAAGGAATATGCGAGTAAGACCCCGTAGCACATCATTATGGTTTGACTGGACACACTAGGAAATTAATGGACAACCAGCCGAGTAATAATCTCTTCCAAATTCGTCATGCTACTAATTGCTTGTGCGGTTATATTAGCGGCCAATTGATTCATTGCTTTTCTTTGGGAGCGGAAACGCCAAACGCGTGATTCTCTCATGGCACACGCCCACAGTGAGGGTGGCTGCTTAATATCTTGGGAGGAAAGAATGCAGTGACATCAACAAGCACGTCTCATTTACTGCAGAGACTGATTTTGGACATTGGGCAGCGCTTGATGGAAGTCAAATCTGATTTTAATGAGCTCTCTTTCCCTCTAGCAGGTGTGGTGCTTTTTTGTAATGTGTAAGTGGTCCTTAAGCCACGAGGTGACAGACTGTTCTTTTAACTGAGACACTTTTGTCTTTGGCAGAAATGTGATCCGCCACTCCTCACTCCTTTTACTGTCCTGTGAGCTTTATAATACAATATGCTTTCCTGTCACTTCACCTGCTCGGTCTCTACCTTTTTTTTTATCAAACTTGCTGTGCCTCGTGCTCTCCTTTGGTACCTCGATCCCTTCCCCCCTCCGAGCGGCCTTACAGCCTGTGTTGGAAGTTTGGGTGTGCGTTCTAAAAAGCTGCTTTTTTAACATATGTGGCATTGTAGCACCGGCTAAGGGACGTCTCCTACTCCCCATTTGCCCACTCGTCTTATGCCCACAAAGAGCATCAGCCGGCACGTCGGTTGGAGATGAATCCAACAGTGTGACTCCGGTTGCCCCCCCCCGAAAAGCCAATATTACCAGCAGAGCTCAGAGGAGAGTAGGAAGAGGTTGAGGTGGAGAGGGATGGCCACAAAAGAGGAACAGGACATTTTGGAGGTGGGCTCGAACAAAATGGAAGCATTTTTTAATAATGCGCAGGGGAGATATGACACTCGTTTTGCTTCACTCATGGTGGGGAGGCAAAGCTCAGTTGACCCGGAACAGGTGCCGTTCAAAGTAGGTTGTACATCAGCTGAATCCCATTGCGTTCATTCAGTAAGCGTCCTTACGACACCTTATTCGATGACTTTGGCTCTCATTTTTCTATCATTCCAAATAGATTCTTTAAACACGACGTCTGTAATGGTAAAGCTGTAAAATGTCTCTAATAAGAACAGAAAATCTATCATACCAGGTTATATTACCTCAATGATACATTTTTGATACATCTAAGAATAAAAAAAATATATATATATATATATAATGTCTATTGTGCTGGCTAACATCTGATTTTTGTCCAAACTAAATACAAAACCGATTTTAGACGATTGCAGAGGCTGCATTTAATTTCCGGCAGGTTAGTTCGCTGATCTATTGATAAAATGATACTGGATGTTGTTCTCACTTGAAATGTATTGGATTGACACAAAGCATTCATGACCCACTATAATTGTTTTTTTCCAACAAATGTTTAGCAGTTTTAGAATGGTGCTCCATTTCACGTCTGTAGTGCAAATACTGTTTTGAGTGCTTACTTGTTAATTTAAAATGCATTAGAACGTGGCATGATACCTCTTTGCCATTGTGACATTGTTTCCCGTCAGTAGTCACATTACGCATCTATATTTCTGTTCTCACACACAGGTCTCGCTGTAGGGATTAACCCCTGTAACATCCTCACTCTGGCAGCTGTTTTAGAATAAGTCTCAGTAGCTCTGGTTGTCGTTTGTGCCGTCATCTCTGCTTTATTTACTTCTCCCGTTCTCTCCTCCTCCTCCTGCTCGTCTCCTTCCTTTGCAACATGCCTTTTGGTATATTTCGTTCTTGTTGCCCTGGAAAACGGTAAAGTAGTGTTGACGATGGTGATGGTTAGGGGGGGAGGTACACATGGTGCATGCATGTGCTTTCTTACTAGTGAACACTCTTGCACACATGTCTGCACAGCCACTGCAATTCTCCACCTCTGCACAGCTCTGTGTGACCTATATTTTGTATTCGGAATATACGGAAAAAAGGCATTATCGCTTTTTCAGCGGATTTAAGTGGATTTAAACATGCCTAATCCAAAGTGCCACTGTAAAATCAGTTTGTATCTGGACCCCATAGCGGCTTTCAATTGTTCTCGGTCTAGAAAAAAGGCAAATACTGTGCGTTACATCTTCACAAATGTCAGTTATTTGTCCTGCGGCTTTTGAATGGTGATTAAATAAAGAGTGTGAGTGCATGACACCTTAAACTCTAAAGCAGCATTGAGTTAGTTCAGCCTTAGAGTTACACACTTTAGAAAACATCAAGTTTTAGGATACTAAACCATCAGAGAACCATGAAACCCAACCGTAACAAACAAGGAAAAAGAAAAATGTGTGTGTGTGTGTGTGTGTGTGTGTCACAGCAGGACAATAAGTCTGAGAAGGGGAGCGTCTCCTCTGCAGTCTGAGATCAGCTTCCCATAGAGAAGATGTCACAACACATTTCACGCCACTGCCTTGTGTTTTTGTGTAAGGCTAGGCGTTCTCCCTCACACACACACACACAGACTAATAAGAGACTGGATTGAAGGGCTTCAGGCATAAAGGGCCTTGTACTGCTCAGAGAAACATATTTTGGTCACCTGCTGCCACGCACACACACACACACGCCCTCATAAGCATCTCGACACATGCACACAATCATCACTGTATCACAGCTGGTGTCAGACTTTTAATGGGCGCATGGGGTCAAATAGACCAACCAATTGCACACACACACACACACATGCGCATATACAGACACACACTGAATGTGTAGTAGCAGGGATGTTGGGCGAGCCTGCAAAGGGAGGGTTGGGGAATACTGAGCTGAACGGGATCAACACGCACTGACCATATTAATGCTTAGATCTTCATTCTGTACAGGTTTTATTTCTATTTTGCTTTGCCAAATTCCATCAAACACCCCTAGATAATCACGTGGACACAAACACATGGAGTATCTCCATTTTCTTTTCTTTTTTGGAATGTGTGTGTGTGTGTGTGTGTGTGTGTGTGTGTGTGTGTGTGTGTGTGTGTGTGTGTGTGTGTGTGTGTGTGTGTGTGTGTGTGTGTGTGTGTGTGTGACCGAGAGAGAGACTCAGCTGGGCTCTGTGACGGCTCCATGACGACTGAGGCGCTGTAGCATATTTTGGACTTGATAGACAACTCATTGTCTGACAATTTTATTACTCTAGTTTTGGACAATGAGGAAGATTTCAAACAAGCTCACTTTTTTGGCATGAATTGATTGCTCCTTTGGGTGCGTTACAGAAATGTTGTGAAGAAACAATGGACAATAATTTCAATGTACTACTGAGTCAGAAACTAAAAGGATGTGAGAATGTTTGGCCGCATAAAAGCTAAAAGTTGTCACTTAACACTCAAGGCTGACGGCTCGGTGTAAGAGTTTGGAAACCGTTAGATAAAATGGCACAATTAGACTCAATGAATGACTTTTTATCCATTAATACTAAATAAACATCTAGGAGCAATGAACTAGTTGGTCCGAACATTAAGGCGCCTTTAAAAAATTCAGTATCAAACTGGGTCTAATAGGTTGGTGTTTCATTGGACGCTCCAAATAAACACCGGCTTCTTATTTTACATCATGGGTCTCTTCTGTCCCTGTGTTAACATAATAAGAAGCTTGACTGCCAGCTGGCCACCCCCCCACACCACCCCCCCCCCCCTCTTACCCCCCCAAACATGGTGCATTCCCTGAAGATTGAATATTTAACATAATCAAATAGACCTGTGCAACATTGCTGGCCTGACAGTCGACGAGCCCTAAATATGGAGAGGTCACCTTTGTATCCTGCCCTACAAGTAAACATACCTGGAGAGTTGAAAAGCTGTTTGGTGCATCGATGCAAAACCGCAGCAAGATCATTTAAGCTGAGGTCAGTGCCAGCCTGAGGCGTTTTCTCTCTGCTCCCCTTCCATCCTCCCCTTTCTTCCGTTGTTGGTCCCCCTCTCTTTTCCCCAGGAGCGTCGGTATTGTGGCTCCGTATTGACATAAAGGGCAAGGGGATGAAATGCAGCAAACCTACAAGCAGCAAGAAGTTGCTGTGAGCCTGCACTTTCCATCTGCATACTTCTAATCCAATTAGCGAGGGCCTCAGTGCTAGAGATTCTGCACTGTGTGTGTGTGAAAGCAACGATAGGAAGCAGTAGAGAGTTTTTTTCTCTGCTTGTGGACTAATTTCTCTTTGTCGGTTTTAAATTAAAACAAAAAAACCCCTGAAATCTTT